AAAAAAAAAAAAAAAAGTGTAGCACTGGCTGGGTGCAGTGGCTCACGCCTATAATCCCAGCACTTTGGGACGTCAAGATAGGCAGATCACTTGAAGCTAGGAGTTCGAGATCAGCCTGGGCAACATGGCGAGTCTCTTGTCTCTACAAAAATACAAAACCACCCAGTTATGTGTGCTGGTGTGTGCCTGTGATCCCAGATGCTCAGGAGGCTGAGGTGGGAGGCTCGCTTGGACCTCGGAGGTTGAAGCTGCAGTGAGCCATGATTGTGGCACTGCATTCCAGCCGGGTGACAAAGGGAGACTGGTGCCAACAGGCCTAGCTAATTTTTCTATTTTTTGTGGAGACATGGTTTCACTATGTTGCCCAGGCTTGTTTCAAACTCCTGGCCTCAAGCGATCCACCCGCTTTTGCCTCCCAAATTGCTGGGATTATAGGCGTGAGCCACCATCCCTGGTCAGGTGGTTTTTTTTTTTTTTGTGACACAGGGTCTCACTCTGTCGCCCAGGCTGGAGTGCAGTGGCGGGGTCTTGGCTCACTGCAACCACCGCCTCCTGGGTTCAAGCCATTCTCCTGACTCAGCCACCTGAGTAGCTGGGACTACAGGCGCCCACCACCGTACCCAGCTAGTTTTTTGTATTTTTAGTCAAGACCGGGTTTCACTATGTTAGCCAGGAGGGTCTCGATTTCCTGACCTCGTGATCCACCCACCTCGGTCTCCCAAAGTGCTGGGATTACAGGTGTGAGCCACCGCGCCCCCAGGTGTTCCTTTTTTCTTTTCTTTTTTTTTTTGAGACGGAGTCTCGCTCTGTTGCCCAGGCTGGAGTGCAGTGGCTGACTTGGCTCCCTGCAAGCTCCGCCTCCCGGGTTCACACCGTTCTCCTGCCTCAGCCTCCCGAGTAGCTGGGACTATAGGCGCCCGCCACCACGCCCAGCTAATTTTTGTGTTTTTAGTAGAGACAGAGTTTCACTGTGTTGGTCAGGCTATTCTTGAACTCCTGACCTCTTGATCCGCCCGCCTTGGCCTCCCAAAGTGCTGGGATTATAGGCGTGAGCCACTGCGCCCCCAGGTGTTTCTTTCTAGCAATGCAAAAACCGCCTAACAGCCCACTAAATTGATTTTATGGTCCAGGAATGGGTCGCTATCCATCATCTGGCAAACGCCGCTCTACGAGGCAGGTTGTGTGTCCACTCACTGTACAGATGAGGAAACTGAGGCAGGGAGAGGTGAAGCCACTTGCTGATGATCCTGCTGTGGAAGGCAGTGGGGCTGGGCCTGGATCCCAAGCCTGGCTCATCTCACAGCCTCTAGTCTGAGCCCCACCCCACCTGCTCAGCTCGCCCACGTGCCCACAGATCCTTCACCTGCAGGGTGTGGCCTTGGGCCTGCGCCCGGGCCCCCCATGCCCGAAGTCGCCTTGCACTCAGCTCCACCTCCGCCTCCGCAGCCTTGAGCTCCACTCCCTGCCTCTCCAGCCTCGAGGCCAGGGTAGATTTCCGGCGTTCCAGTGCAGCCGCCAGGGCCCATAGCAGGGCCGCCCGGGCCCCTGGGGACTGGCCCGCCCAGCTGTGGGCAGACAGTGCACAGTGGGGGTTGGCATCCTGGTCTTGGCTTTCCCGACACCCCACCTCTGTCCACAGCCCCTACCCTGGGGGCCCAGCTTCCCAGTCCACCAACTGCTGGGGGCCCAGGCTCCCCTCTCTACCATGCCATGACCCCTGGGCTTTCCCGTGTGACCCCTCTTACCCAGGGAAAGCCTGGTGAGCGGCCTCCACGGCACCTCGGATGTCCTTGGCTCCACCCTCAGCCACGTAGCCATGGAGGTTGCCGGACGAATCCTGGATAGGCCTGGAGCTTCGGGCCCCAGGAGCCTGGAAACGGCCCCCAACGAAGAGCCCATAGGGGGGTGCTGGGCTGGAGTAGGGTGGGGCATGAGGAGGAGTCCTGAGCCCTCAATCTGCTCAGACCTTATGCTCTACCCCACTGGGAAGACCACCTCGGCTCCCGTGAGCCTCTGGGGCACCCCAAACCCCTGTTCCCATGAGCCTCTGGGGGACCCTAAACTCCAGCTCCCATGATTCACTGGGGGACCCTAAAGTCCTGCTCCCATGAGCCTCTGGTGGACCCTAAACTACTCCCATGAGCCTCTGGGGAACCCCAAATTCCTGCTTCCATGAGCCTCTGGAGGACTCAAAGTTTCTGCTCCTATGAGCCTCTCGAGGACCCCAAACCCCTGTTCCCATGAGCCTCTGGGCACCCTAAACTCCTGCTCCCATGAACCTCTGGCAGACCCTGAACTGCTCCCATGAGCCTGTGGGGCACCTCAAATTCCTGTTCCCATGAGCCCCGGAGGACCCAAAGCTTCTGTTCCCATGAGCCTCTGGGGGACCCTAAGCTCCTGCTCCCATGAACCTCTGTGCTCCCATGAGCCTCTGGTAGACCCTAAACTCCTGCTCCCTTGAGTCTTTGGGGGTACCTTAAACTCCTGCTCCCATGAGCCTCTGGGGGACCCCAAACTTGCTCCCATGAGCCTCTGGTAGACCCTAAACTCCTGCTCCCTTGAGTCTTTGGGGGTACCTTAAACTCCTGCTCCCATGAGCCTCTGGGGGACCCCAAACTTCTGCTCCCATGAGCCTCTGGGAGATTCCAGGCTTCTGCTCCCATGAGCCTCTGGGGACCCTAAAATCTGGCTCCCTTGAGCCTCTGGGGGAACCCAAAATCCTGTTCCTGTGAACCTCTGGGGGACCCTAAACTGCTCCCATGAGCTTCTGGGCGACCCTAAGCTCCTACTCCTTCTGCTCCCGTTAGCCTCTGGGGCACCCCAAGCTTCTGCTCCAGTGAACCTCTTGGGGACCCCAAGCTCCTAGACCCATGAGTTTCTGGGAGAGCACAGACATTCATGGGGCAGAGCTGAGTCTCAGCAGGCCTGGGGTGGGGAAAGTGTGAGGCCACAATGTGGTACTCAGCAGGACCATGAGACAGCTTGGACGGACCTTGCACCAGCCCTCCTGTCCATGGGGAAACGGGCATCAATTTCCCTCTCCCCGTTCACACCCCAACGACTCACCTGGGCCCTATTTCAGGCCCAGCCGGCAGGGCTGAGGGAACAGCAAGGCCAAAGGTGTCATAGTTCAGGTTCTTGGAGAGGCAGGACAGCCGGACAGGGGTCCCTGAGGGCCGCAGATACTCATACAGCCCCTGTGAGAAGGACAGTGTCAAGAGGATGCAAGGGGCACGTGAGGCTGGATGCAAGTGTCAAGGGCACGGCGGGGAGCGGGGCTGGTGACGGGGAGGGGATGTGCTCACGTCTGGGCCCCCATGCCAGGAACACCCACTCTCCTTACAGCCGCCTGTGGGCACCGAAGGGTCTCTGAGGCCGTGGGCATTGATCCAGACGGTGCCCACCTGGAGCCTGTGGGGAAGATAGAGATGTCCGACACAGGAAAACAGATGGTGGCTCGCTGGGAGAGGGGTGAGTTAAAGGCGCAGGGAGCGACCCAGGGAGAAGGGAGATGAAGACAGGAAGAATGAGGAGAGGAGTGAGCGCCTGGGCCACGCAGACTGACCCGTAGCCCAGCTCCAGTGCCTGGCCCAGCCTCTCGCTCCACACGCTGGCGCTGCCCCCGCGGGGCGTCCCGTTGGCCAATGCCAGTGCTTCCTTGGCTGTGCGGAAGGGGGAGGCCACAACCACAGGCCATGGCACCTGCAAGGGGTGATGGGGAGGCTCAGGCCTCTGGGGCCCACCCACCAGGGAAGGGGCCCAGAGCAGGTAGCAGCCCCCTGCCCGGGTCACACGGTCACCCCAGGGGCTTCCGCAGGCACGGAGCTGCTGCCCTTGGCTGGCAGTGGGTAGGAGCTCTACAGACCTCAGGGGCTCACCTCTGCCCAGGCACATGGGGAGGCTGGGGGCAGGTTGGAGACCAAGGTTGGAGGATAGAATGGGTGTTCTGAAGGCACATCGCCAGCCTGGAACACCTAGGGAGAGAAATGATCTAGAAGTCGACCTCCAGTCCCTTCCTGCTGAGACCCAGGAGTGCAGGCTCCCAGCCCCTCCTCCCTCAGACCCAGGAGTCCAGACCCCAGCCCCTCCTCCCTCAGACCCAGGAGTCCAGACCCCCAGCCCCTCCTCCCTCAGACGAGTCCAGGCCCCCGGCCCCTCCTCCCTCAGACCCAGGAGTCCAGACCCCCGGCCCCTCCTCCCTCAGACCCAGGAGTCCAGGCCCCCGGCCCCTCCTCCCTCAGACCCAGGAGTCCAGACCCCCGGCCCCTCCTCCCACAGACCCAGGAGTCCAGGCCCCCTGTCCCTCCTCCCTCAGACCCAGGAGTCCAGGCCCCTGTCCCTCCTCCCTCAGACCCAGGAGTCCAGGCCCCCGGCCCCTCCTCCCTCAGACCCAGGAGTCCAGGCCCCCGGCCCCCTCCTCCCTCAGACCCAAGAGTCCAGGCCCAGCCCCTCCTCCCTCAGACCCAGGAGTCCATGCTCCCAGCCTCTCTTTCCTTAGACCCAGTTGTCCACGCCCTGCTCCCTCTTCCCTGGGACCCAGGAGCTGGGTCTCCAGGTCCCTCCTCCTCAGACACCCTCAGTCTGTGACCCCTGCCTCACCTGTGCACCCTGGCTCTGCGCCTCACGCACAAAGCGCTGGACCAGGTCACATGCAGCAGCCCCGCGGGCCCCCATGTCCACGGCCCCATCCAGCCCTCGGCCACTCCGAAGCCGCCCCATCCGCTCCTGCAGTCGTCTCATGGCTTCGTCCCACACAGACTCCTGGATAAGGAGCCTGAGGCCACCCTGTGAGGAAAAAGGGCGTCAGGAGATCATGCCATTGCACTCTAGCAAGTTGGTGATCTGAAGAGTGAAGACAGAGGCTGGAAAACTAGGGACATGGACACTCAGATAAATCAACAGTCCTGAAGAACAGAGAGGCCGGGTGCGGTGGCTCACGCCTGCAATCCCAGCACTTTGGGAGGCCAAGGCGGGTGGATCAACAGAGGTCAGGAGTTTGAGACCAGCCTGGCCAACATGGTGAAACCTCGTCTCTACTAAAAATACAAAAATTCGCCAGGTGTGGTAGTGGGCGCCTGTAATTCCAGCTACTCGGGAGGCTGAGGCAGGAGAATCACTGGAACCTGGGAGGTGGAGGTTGCAGTGAGCCGAGATTGCGCCATCGCACTCCAGCCTGGGTGACAAGAGCAAAACTTCGTCTCTCAATAAATAAATAAATAAATAAATAAATAAATAAGTAAAAATGAACACATATAGAAAAACAAAACAAAACAACCCAACAGATAAAATGAACAGAGACTCAGGACCCCAAGGCCTGGAGACAGACACCTACAGCCTCCAGGGTGTGAGGGGACAGGAGTGCACGGGTCTCACCGGGCCGCGGTCGGACCAGGCGGCGTCCACGACACCCTCCACGGCCGAGTCGACGTCCGCTGTGTCTGTCAGCAGCAGCAGCGACTCCGTCCCCAGCGCTAGGCCCAGCTCCGCACACTCACCCGCCAGGGTCCGTCGAAGGGCACGGCCTTCCTAGGGACCCCCACCAATTCAGCCGCAGGAGGAGCTTTGCAGCCCCCAGACACGTTCCACCACAACCCCTGTCCTGCAGGTACCTCCAGGGCTCCGCAGAAGGCCACCTTCTGGATTCCAGGCTGGGAGGCCAGGACGGGCACCAGGGAGGCAGGGCCACTGATGACATTCAGGATTCCTGGGAACGGGCCCAGCTCCCCTGACAGCTGGGCCAGGAGGAGGGGTGTCGGGGAGGCCGGGGGCACGAGGGCCACCACAGTGCAGCCTGGGGAAGCGGAGCAGCTCAAAAATTCAGCAGTCCAAGTCCAAGCTCCTCCTCCCTCAGACTCAGGAGTCCGGACCCCAGCCCTTCCTCTGACAGACCCAGGAGTCCAGACCTCAGTCCCTCCTCCCTCAGACCCAGGAGTCCAGACCTCAGTCCCTCCTCCCTCAGACCCAGGAGTCCAGACCTCAGTCCCTCCTCCCTCAGACCCAGGAGTCCAGACCCC